TTTATTTTGAGATTGATTTACGATTTTGTTGTCAATTTGGTATTTTCTGAAGGTCATCAGGTGTTAATTTCAATCTTATTTTGAGTTTTATGAGGTAGTTGCCCAGTGTATATCGACGTACAAAGTTCACATAATGAACTGACATTTGTTTATAAGAGATATATCCTCTGTAATAACGTCTGATTTATGTCCATTTTACCAGTCGCAGACATATACTTTCTTTACTTTATTCTCTGTTGAACTTTTCAAACATCAATCATGAAGCTTGTTTTATTGATGAAGGAGAAAATACGAAAAAGGAAAACTTTCTTAATGTCACGCTTATCTTTTTAGGAGAGAAATGAGAAAATGTAGTGCGTCACATGTTTTCTCTGGTGACATATCCAAATAAGGGATAAAACAATCATTGAACACAAAACAGATAAAAAAAATGTCAGCAAAAAATTATCGAACTTGTTTGATAGAAGCTATGAGGATACAGTGCTAATCATATTTTTTTAATATTCTGGTATTGTATCTCTCAGGACGAACCAAACTAATTTAGCCTGTGCTTGAAGATTTCTCTAACCCGGCATACACTGATATGTTCGATAATTCCGGCACTGAACATCACTAGCCAGACAATTAAATCTACCTTATCGAGTGTATATGCTGTTTTTATGATTGTAATGCCCTACGATTATAGTAATTGGTTAAATAATGTATTAACTGATAGTATGGCTGGTTGCTGTCGAATGTCCGCAAAGACAGCTATCGTCTAAATACGTATATTCTTTGAGGCTAATTTCACACATATATTTCTTTCACATGCTTCGTTGGGAACAGCAATTTCACTTCGACAAGACGTCTCTAATTATCACGCAAAAAGAGACCTCGTATTAACTCGGATGCGTTGACCACTCTTGAATAGAACAGCATGAAAGATGGGTTAGTTTGGCCATTGACCTGGGGGGATGATAGCATAGCCAGTCACGAGTAACATTGAAGACGACGAGAAATTTCGGAAGCGTCTAAATAGCGTTAAAATACATATTTCACAAGAGCACTAGACTGTCTTGACTTTGTGATTTAATGCCAGATATGTCTTGTTTCAGTATCGTATTCTTTAAAACTAGTTTTTCCTTAAACCCTACTTTGTTCTTTTATTTATCTTTGATTCCTTAACATGTATTTTGGAATTTCAGACATTTCTGATTTTTCACAAGTTACAATTTGCTTTTTTCATCTTGTATTTATTTAGATGTATACAAGTATATTTTTTTATTTTGAAATTTTGAATTAAAGTATTTGTTGGTGAATGTGTTACTGATTGATAACAATATCTAAACGTATTAAAACTAATGCCTTTCTACAAAACGATTTCTTATCAAATGATCTCCGTGATGAAAAGAGCTATTTTATTGCTTTAGATACCACACTGATACTTCTTTACTATTCTATGTTTTATCCCATTTGATACAATGTTACCGTGTGTGAAGACCTCTAACATCCCCCTCCTCTGATAGACTGGACCAATGTTACTGTATGTAAAGACATCTAACCTCTCCCCTCCTCTGATAGACTGGACCAATGTTACTGTATGTACAGACATCTAACCTCTCCCCTCCTCTGATAGACTGGACCAATGTTACTGTATGTACAGACCTCTAGCCCCCACCCCCTCCCCCTGATAGACTGGACCAATGTTCCTGTGTGTAAAGACCTCTAACCTCCCCCCTCCTCTGATAGACTGGACCAATTTTCCTGTGTGTAAAGACCTCTAACCCCACTTCTCTGATAGACTGGACCAATGTTCCTGTGTGTAAAAACCTCTAACCCCCCTCCTCCCCCTCCTCTGATAGACTGGACCAATCTTACTATATGTAAAGACCTCTAGCCCCCCTCCCCCTGATAGACTGGACCAATGTTCCTGTGTGTAAAGACCTCTAACCTCCCCCTCCTCTGATAGACTGGACCAATGTTCCTGTGTGTAAAGACCTCTAACCCCCTCCCCCTCCTCTGATAGACTGGACCAATTTTCCTGTGTGTAAAGACCTCTAACCCCCTCCTCTGATAGACTGGACCAATGTTCCTGTGTGTAAAGACCTCTAACCTCCCCCTCCTCTGATAGACTGGACCAATTTTCCTGTGTGTAAAGACCTCTAACCCCCTCCTCTGATAGACTGGACCAATGTTCCTGTGTGTAAAGACCTCTAACCCCCTCCCCCTCCTCTGATAGACTGGACCAATCTTACTGTATGTAAAGACCTCTAGCCCCCTCCCCCTGATAGACTGGACCAATGTTCCTGTGTGTAAAGACCTCTTACCTCCCCCTTCCTCTGATATACTAGACCAATGTTCCTGTGTGTAAAGACCTCTAACTTCCCCCCTCCTCTGATAGACTGGACCAATTTTCCTGTGTGTAAAGACCTGTGTATATTAATAGTGATAGAAGTATGTACTCTACCTGTGATGTGGTCTATCCCAGACATACCAGTTGTATCACATTATCACCTTGTCTGGTGATTGCGATGTGATGGAACTAGGACGTTTTACTTACATTAGCAAACTCAATCTCACGTTTGGAGTTGTTAATTCGATCAGAAAAGAATAATGTATCTAATTTTAGTACCCTATCTTTGTTCAAATCAGTATAATACCACATAAAAGAAGTTCCATATCAAGTGCTGGTGTTTGTATCCTTGTAAATGACAAGTATCTGAACGCGACGGAAACATTCGGACATTGTCTACCGGAAATTCTCATCAGTCTTTCTTAACGCGTAGTCACGTGACTTTGTATAACTCTTCTCCAATAGTGACGTCATTGGGGCCAGACAAAATGTCGCTGACGTCAAAACGTGCAGGATAAAACCCATTTGAGTTATAATTTAGTACCACACAACCTTATAGCTATGATCTTTAAAACAGAAACTTGTGTCCATCTATCAGACGAGGGTACAAGATACAACATCCATTTTGGTTGTGATATAATATCAAATACCTTTAAATATCAAAACATTTTTTGTCAGTTACGTTGTAACTTTGTGAATGCGCGAATTTTGATAATCAATTCGATACTTAACCTTTCAGATTTTTAAAATGAATTTCATCAATTATACACAGTTTTACTCGAACGATGATGTATGTCTTATACTGGTGTAAATAATCAAACGCTCTTATTACACTGCTCTCTTTTCCTACGACTATATTTGGTTTCACTTGTATAATTCTTTTTTTTTAAAGTTGTAAACAAAAAAATGAATAAAATAGATTAACAAATAAATAAATAAAATAAAATAAATCAAATAAGATGAGTATGCTTAATATTACAGAAATATCAAACAACCTGTGTAAATTGGATGTTTTTTCCCCAATATGCTGTAAGATGTCCTACATAATATTATACCACAGGAACGGTAGCAGGTTAACTACACCAACAGTATTGAATGTACATGGCTTCTGATCAAAGCTGTCGTAGTGTTTGATCATATATACCAAACCAGTGTGGTTTATATCGACCACTGGATATAAGGACTAGAAACAAACATGTAAACCCGATAATGATATCCTCTTCAATGTCCTTCAGATTATCACAAAGAAAACCTATCGTAAATATCTAATTCACCTTGTAAATCGAATTAACATATTGATATCAGGTAGAGACACCACTCTGTCAACCCACCTTTAATCTGTGTTTACTCGTCATAAACCTTACTATGTGTAATTAAAAATAGGTGTCAGCAAGGAATATATTATTACTTGAAATCAATATTTTATGTACTAAACGTGGAAGGTATACCAGTGTTCGATTATATTACGTTAAAAAACATTCCGTTAAGGTTTTTATAAGTTATAGATTGAAAAAATCCAGAAAAATGTCAACCTGATCATAGTTACCTTGTGGATAATTCTTTAAAATGTCGTTTACAAAATACTATTTCTTCAGATTTTTATTATATAACTATTGAAAACATTGTGTAAATAAGTAAACACAGAAGACATGGAATGAAAAAAGCTATGTAAGATTTCAATCACCTATATAGTAATAAATGTTATATGAAAGAATATTTTCATATTTTGCGCCAACAAAACAAACGCATCATGAAAACCCAATTCGTCATATTTTCTGGAAAATCGAAAATGCACTGAAAGAACGCCGATTTTTCTTTTTGCAAATACATTTCGTGATAATCTGTTTTATACTGGCGGTTTATCAGGGAACCGTGAATGCGTCATTGTAAACATACTGAGTGGCATGTTAGGCCTTTGTTTCAATTCAGTTAGATTAATTGCTTTCTGTACCTGACGGAAATTATGTCATTGTTTACAAAGTAAGCCTCTTGTTTTCTTCTGTGATGAGGTTTTCACAAGCAAAACCTCTTTTATGTTGGCGTGTTTAGCCGAATGTTTGTTTCCTATGCGAGACTTCATACCAGTGAAGGTATCGTGTTATCATCCTTCGTACGAAAGTCAATAAGTACAAGCAGGCATGCTACTACCACTAGATAGAGGCAGGACAAGCGGTCACATTCTGTCTCTGTGATAACTTCTCTGTCAGAATATCACAGTGCCGCATTAACACGAGATGAACACAATCTAAGCCAATAACATCCCACCGGATAGCCATATATCTATCATTACGTTGCAATTTTTTTCTAAACAATAACTTGTTAAATCAGATAAAAAAATCTTTATATGGTCAACAGGTATCACCTTGCAATGTCGAACAGGGATCTGCCATGATACGGACGTGCATTCATTTGTGAGCGTTTGGGCAAGACAGAACAAGCAAGAGACCACCTCAGTGAAGCAGTGTATTGCTTGTGTGCATTTCTATACAGGAGTTCAAGTGAAGGGGAAACCCAAAACGTGTACCGAGGGATAGGTAACAAGTACTGTGTGTACAGATTTCGTGGAGGTGTCCCGAAAGGTATAAAACCTAGTTCCCGGAGTTAGGACATTCAGCCGGTACTAAAGCGATATCACAACAGGACATTGTTTCTTCTTAAAGAAATTAACATGAGGACTTCCGAGATTTTTAGTGGGCCATTGTGTAGAGTAAGAAGGAGGGACGTAACAGATATCCTCATCACTGTCTATAGAATTTTCCTTGTTTTAAACACATTGACAGCGTTGACATATTCCCGGCATTCGTGGGAAAGACCCGGCTGTTATAAAGTAGGTGAGTACATTTAACAAAACCATGACTGGTATTTAATGATATTTACCGTGTATTATTCTTTAGTATTGCTACATTTGATGTATTTTATAATTCATCAATAATGTTTTATTCTATATTCGGCGCAATTAATTTAAGTTGATAACATTACCTTCAGTAACCGGTAGTTTGTCTTTTCGTCGTTTATATATTTTTTTAATCTAGATGTCTTGACGAGAAACAAACAAACCCTTTATTTGTAACAAATTGTAATCCAACCAAGATTCAATTTCTTTTTGAGAACGTTATTCCATAATACTTTCATTATACCATAAGTTCGTTTTTGCATGATGATGGTATTTCTGTAAGCAATTTGTGCTCATCAGCATGGGACTGACTACATTTGATTTAACACAACAAATTTATTAATATGGATGTCAATAGGAAATGTTTTGATATCTTGCGGAACATATTTCCCGTTTATTGAAAGTCATTTAGTTTTATCGTTTTAACAAAACCATATTAAACAGCTCCACATTGTTGTAGACGTGATAAAGTTTTATTGGTCTTATAAAACCATATTAAACAGCTCTACATTGTTGTACACGTCACACAGTTTTAATGTTCTTATAAAACCATATTAAACATCACAACTTGTCAACAAAATGATACGGTAGGTATAATTGAAGATCATTCAGCATCTAATTTAGTTCTAGCGACATATTTGTGAGGATTATTACAATAAGATCGTGTAAGGCTGTTCGAATGAACAAATCTAGTCTTCAGATTAGATGGATGCACGCATTGGTAATCATATTGTAAATCTTATAAAATAAATGGACACGATAAAAAGGATAAAATGTCGTGCAGGGTCACACGGTAGATAGGATATAATGTCGTGCAGGGCCACACGGTAGATAAGATATAATGTACAGGATCACACAGTAGATAGGATATAATGTACAGGATCACACGGTAGATAGGATATAATGTACATGATCACACGGTAGATAGGATATAATGTCAGACAGGATCACACGGTTGATAGGATATAATGTCAGACAGGATCACACGGAAGATAAGACATAATGTCAGACAGGATCACACGGAAGATAAGATATAATGTCAGACAGGATCACACGGTAGATAGGATATAATGTCAGACAGGATTACACGGTAGATAGGACATAATGTCAGACAGGATCACACGGTAGATAGGATATAATGTACATGATCACACGGCAGATAGGATATAATGTCAGGCAGGATTACACGGTAGATAGGACATAATGTCAGACAGGATCACACGGTAGATAGGATATAATGTCAGACAGGATCACACGGAAGATAAGATATAATGTCAGACAGGATCACACGGAAGATAAGATATAATGTCAGACAGGATCACACGGTAGATAGGATATAATGTCAGACAGGATCACACGGTTGATAGGGTATAATGTCAATGGACTCAACCAGACAAAAATATGCTCAGTCGCTGTAAGGTATGTCGTAATATTGGTAGTTACACGGTTATACAACGAAATTGTAGACACGGTAAAGTATAAGCGGTGCTTCCACTCTACACAGTCAACGAGCGTGTCATAGATAATACAGGATATGGAGAACACATATATAGACCCTGAGAGTTACAGTACTTTACCAGAGGGGGAACAATAAGGTTCTGCAAAGGATTCTCATTCACCTGTTTCATCGTGTTTTAAAGTCCCTATCTCTCTAACATGCACATTTATTGTTGGGGAAGAAATCAAACACGTTGTATTGAATGTGTTATGTACAACACGGAGAAAGTGTAAAATTACATTATTTGATAAAAGTGTTGATGTTCTGTTGATATTTCTGTTACTTCATCATAATAACACATTTGTAATACGGCCATTAGATCCGTGCACGTGTGGAAATTCATTGCTATTTTTTAACTGTAAAATTGTTAATTTTTTTTCAATCTTTTAAAAATATTTATCTGAGAAAAATTTTACAAGAGATTCATTTCTGTTAAACAGTTTTGGAAATTACTTTGTTGCTTTGACGTCATTTAATGACATCATAAACTTGTATTTCAAATAACTGAAACAATTATCTGATTGATGAATTGTGGTAATGTTGCTTAAACTGAATTATATAACGTCTTTTAAGTCAATTTCTCAGTATTCTCAATTTTATAGCTGAGTTAGTAATCAATATCTAGACTTAACAGCTTCAGATTAGATGCAATATCACTTTTCTGCAAGCAAAAGGTTTCAATTAATATAAAAAAAAAACAGTTTTATTACGAGTTGCGGTAAATCAAAATTTCGAATTTAATTCTGGACGCTTGGAATCCGTACGGGAGCCATTAAAACTGTTGACGAGATGAAGATATAAACTTTCCCCTGGGAGGACTTAATATGTTTTGATATCGACAGATCTGTTAAAACGTTCGTCTTAATCCTCCTACGCTACTGTAATACTTAGTTAACCGTTTACAGCTTGTATCAGTGCGAATGAGATATGTCGCCTTTATCTAACTTAAATGCTTTTACCTCTGGTGGCAGGACAGTTTTTCTTCCACATCTAAATGTGATTATCCACGAGCGTAAAGAAATGTTTTTTGTACTTAAATTTGAATGCACCGTGGTCGTAAGCTCCAATTAAGAAAATAAACTTCAGTACGAAATGTAACAGTGAATGTTTTTAGTTCGATCTATTCATACTACGAATAAGGGTTAACACAACGTCTCACCTGAGGACGATAAATGTGTCAGATATCTTCCGAAAAGTGTCCCTAGTTACCGATACGGTAAAGAACGGTTGCCGTATACAAGTAACAAGACCTAGCCGATTTGGAAATCAAGATTTTTCCCCATTCGACATGTTGTAAGAACTGTTGTTGATTTCTCATAAAAATCTTTCGTCATCTAGTATGTTACAGCTACACATATCTTATTGTCTTACTTGTAGGCCTGTACCAACTATACATAGCGTGTTGTCTTACGTGTAGGCCTGTACCATCTACACATATCGTGTTGTCTTACGTGTAGGCCGGTAACAACTACACATATCGTGTTGTCTTACGTGTAGGCCGGTAACAACTACACATATCGTGTTGTCTTACGTGTAGGCCTGTAACAACTACACATAGCGTGTTGTCTTACGTGTAGGCCTGTAACAACTACACATAGAGTGTTGTCTTACGTGTAGGCCTGTAACAACTACACATAGCGTGTTGTCTTACGTGTAGGCCTTACCAACTACACATATCGTGTTGTCTTACGTGTAGGCCGGTAACAACTACACATAGTGTGTTGTCTTACGTGTAGGCCTGTACCAACTACACATAGCGTGTTTTCTTACGTGTAGGCCTGTAACAACTACACAGCGTGTTTTCTTACGTGTAGGCCTGTAACAACTACACATAGCGTGTTGTCTTACGTGTAGGCCTGTACCAACTACACATATCGTGTTTTCTTACGTGTAGGCCTGTAACAACTACACATAGCGTGTTGTCTTACGTGTAGGCCGGTAACAACTACACATAGTGTGTTGTCTTACGGGTAGGCCTGTAACAACTACACATAGAGTGTTGTCTTACGTGTAGGCCGGTAACAACTACACATAGTGTGTTGTCTTACGTGTAGGCCTGTACCAACTACACATAGCGTGTTGTCTTACGTGTAGGCCTGTACCAACTACACATAGCGTGTTTTCTTACGTGTAGGCCTGTAACAACTACACATAGCGTGTTGTCTTACGTGTAGGCCTGTAACAACTACACATAACGTGTTGCCTTACGTGTAGGCCGGTAACAACTACACATATCGTGTTGTCTTACGTGTAGGCCGGTAACAACTACACATATCGTGTTGTCTTACGTGTAGGCCAGTACCATCTACACATATCGTGTTGTCTTACGTGTAGGCCTGTACCATCTACACATATCGTGTTGTCTTACGTGTAGGCCGGTAACAACTACACATATCGTGTTGTCTTACGTGTAGGCAGGTAACAACTACACATAGTGTATTGTGTTACGTGTAGGCCTGTAACAACTACACATAGAGTGTTGTTTTACGTGTAGGCCGTTTACAACTACACATAGCCTGTTGCCTTACGTGTAGGCCATGCAAACTGTGCCGAGGCTCCAACTGTATTTTGTATAAGACGACTTTATTTCCGACCTTGATCTGTTTTCCTCCTAAGAAATTTCTAACAACACGAAGTAGTACAACGAAACAGAGGCAACTTTCCACCAAACTGTTGTAATGTTGTCATTTTACCTACCCTTTATAGCAACATCCTTACATCCCCAAGATACGATGTTCATATGGCTTAGTTGGTTCACTATTCCAGGGATTTTCGATAATATGTCGAATGCTGAGTTTTGAAGTTAATGAAGACTATGGCGGTCTTCATAGTGATCACGTTGGGAATTTGAATTTTTCCAGATGCCATATCAGGTTAGACGTGTTTGATGCTCGATATTGTGCTTTGTGGTTCGATTGTTATTAACTTTCTTCTCGTTTGAGAACGTGACATTACTTTACACTTGGATACACACATGTTTGCATGACGGATGTTGTCGATAAAGCAGGAGAAGCTTACACTTCTGGAACACGTGGTCTTATTATCCTTGTACTCAAGATTCTCTGTGTACATCTTTCTTTTGTTCATGTTTTGCCCTAGTTGCATTGACTTTCAGGTTGGATTATGATTATGCAGACATGTTGGTATTTTCGTACTGTTTTTAAATTGAAAAGAAAGTTCAAGCATTCATTATTGAAATACAATAAAACAAGTAAAAACGCTTTACTGGTTTTTCAACCAAGCATGAATACGTGTCTAGTTGGACAATTTCTACAACCACTGTGACAGTAATAAACTGAATGTGGTACTTTAAAAGCATGTATTTCCCTGATGCTCATTCAACACCCGATCCCAAATTTGGCTTTATTGCCCAAGTATAAGATTAGGGAAATACCAGGGTTGGGAGCCCTAGAGTCACTCCCGTTACAACATGCTGCTTA